AAAAAAAAAAAAAAGTGAAAAGGAACTGGTGTAGCTGTTTTCAAGTGTAGACTGGTGTCTGTGCATCTTGGGTGTAAAATAGAGCACACCTGTGCACCTCCTGCCTCTGTTTCAAGCTATGTACTGCCAATACCTTATCTATATGTTTATTACAAAATTCAGTGCTTGCGACAGATGAGCTGACTCCTGGGTGAATGAACTCTGTAGTAAGATAAAAATGGTAATTTGGACTTGTCTTAGTTCCTAGAAGACAGACACACTTTGCCCTGTTGGCAACAGTCTCCTTTTGGCTTTTCCATTGCTAAGTTCTGAAGATCCATGTTGCCTCACTTTTTGCAATTTTCCAGCACATTAGATGATTGAAGGATAATGTTGGTGTCAAGCATTGCCTCCACGGGCTTGTCTATGACTTGGGGCAAATTGTGCAAGAGTGGCAGTTGTGTTCATGGGGGCTGGAGATGAAAACGGGGCAGTGTGAAAAATCAGGGTCAGAGGGCTGGGCACTGACCTGCTAAGTTTGGGTTGGGACCAGTGAAAAAGACTCTCCATCAGGACAACCTGATGTTGCTGTTCAATAAAAAGGGACAGGAGAGCCTCTGGAGGGGAACTGTGGCATGCAAGCTAGGTGATTCCAACATGTTGCTTAGAGTATAAAATACCTCTTGGGGGAAGTGTTCTTTTGTCTGCTTCGATTCTGCAAACGGAGTCTCTGCCCATCAGGAACACTTCCCCCTGCCTTGGACATCTTAGGAGCTTCACAAACTAACCTGTATGAATTGAATTAATGAGACTCCAGTTCTCACACTGCATAATGAAAATGTCTTTCATCATTGAGATTTGTTAAATAAATGTAAATTTTTTAATCCAAGTGACAATGCTAACACTTAAAAAACATGAGAATAGGCTCGGCGCCTACAGCTCAACCGGCTAAGGCGCCAGCCACGTACACCTAAGGTGGCGGGTTCGAATCCCCAGCCCGGACCCGACAAACAACAATGACGGCTGCGACCAAAAAATAGCCGGGCGTTGTGGTGGGCACCTGTAGTCCCAGCTACTTGGGAGGCTGAGGCAGGAGACTCGCTTTAGCCCAGGAGTTGGAGGTTGCTGTGAGCTGTAATGCCACAGCACTCTACCCAGGGGGATAGCTTGAGGCTCTGTCTCAAAACAAACAAACAAACAAACAAACAAACAAACAAAAAAATGAGAATATTAAAAGATTTACCACAAAGTTCTCTACCACATCCCACAGTCTGGCTGGACAGCAGCAAGCTTTTCATTCTTTTAGCTCTTTTTATGTTGTTTATCTACCCATTTCTAAATCATTTGCTTTCCTTGCCCCCAACTTTGCAAACTTCCTTCTGCACATCCAGTAGTCAGCTGTTAGCCACAGTCAACATGGTTGAGCCAAATGTCCTGTAATTATGATTCGTTGTCTTTCTTCCCCCTTGTATGACTTTTCATTTTTCTTGCTTACCTCACTTTTTCCCCTTGATAAAGTTCCTGTGTATCTGTTACTAATTTTTCCTGGAATTCTCTAACAGCTGTCAAGCATATCAATTTTTCTGTATGCTCTAACATAGCAAAACTTATTTTATTTCTGTTATTTTCCAGCCATTCCCCTTGTGCCAGTGCAGACTGGGTCCTGGCTGGTCCTGCTGCTCAGGACCATCCTGGACCTTGCCCTGGCCCTGCCCCTGGGCATCCCTTTGGCGGCTGTCTTGGATCCCCAGCTCCTTGGATCTCGTGCCATCTTCTTTAAATACTAGTTCACTTGGGAATAGAATTCTAGGTCAGGAAAAATTTTCCCTCAGAATACTAAAGTTTTTCATCCTCATCTCTAGAATCCAGGTTGCTATTGAGAACTCTAAGGCTACCATGATTCTTAATCCTGGTTTTTCTCTGAAAGCTTTTAAGAGCATCTTTTTAAACAATCTGATATTTTAAATTTTCACAGTTATGAACATGTTCTGGAAGTGAGGGTGTCACTATTTCCCCCACAATACAACCATGTGGGGGTAATTACTGAGCACCCCGTGAGAGCCATTGGTCAGTTCCTGGTAGTGAAGCAATGCAGGGGACTCAGGGTTCCTGCTCTTGGGGTACTTATGTTCCAATGGGGGAGCCGGGGGACAGACTGTACATATGTATACAAATAAATAAAACAATTCTATATGGTGAGGAGAGTAGTTAAGAAAATAAAAGTCCCAGGTGGAGTGCTTTGGCAGGGAACCCGGAGAGCAGCCAGTTTACATTGGCTAGGAGGGAAGGTCTCCAGAGGAGGGGACGTTTTTCATGAGCCCAGAATACAGACACCTGCAAATGTGTTCTAAGCAGAGGAAGTAGCAGACCCCACAAATGAGGTGAACTCTATTCAAGGATGAGTAGACATCCTCATGTCCCTGAACAGAGGGGGCAGTGGTACAGTGGTGTGTATGAGGTGGGGAGGGAGGCTGTGAGAAGTGAGACTGTTCTGAGGATGAACTGAGACCAGCAAGAGCAGGTATGGGAAGGCCTGGTGGGACAGGGCTGCGAGCTCCAGGAGAGAGAGTCTAAGACGGGACCATCTCTTACCTGCCCAGAACCTGCTGTTGGGGACAAGGCACATTGGGGAGGTGGATGAAGGAGAGAGATCAGCCCCTCCAGGCCCTGAGAGTGGTGAATGCAGGAGGGAGAGGTGGTGTCTGTTCTCTGTGGGACAATCTGAGCAAGGTGTCTCCTGCAGGGCCTAATGGCTGCAAAATCCCAGCCCAGCACGCCCAAAACCAAGAGTCCAGGCAGCGTCTCCAATGGCCAGACTACATCTCAAGGACAGTGGGGCCGTGCCTGGTAAGGATCTTACTCCTTCTCCCAGTTGAAAAATATAGTGGGCTCTTAGAGGTTTTTTAGCCTTTGGGATTTTATGGACCCAAAGGAAAGAATGACTTACTAAACATTTTTTATTAAGTCTAATGGAAGGTAAGCAGTTTTCTATTTTATAGAATAAGAAATTAAAAAAAGAAAAACTAGGATATTCCATCCTCAAACAATATAGAAAGGATATGGACTTTCAGGGCAACCAGTTCTCTCCCACTGCCCTGGGTCAGGATGCTGTTGTCATGCTGTTTGCCACAGAGTGATGGGAACTAGGTGTGGGTGATGGTCTTCCCTGGCCTGGAACTGGGGAAGGCAGGGTGGTGGTGAAAGGCCTTCCTGCTCTTGTGTCCTGGGCCCTGGGCTTCTCAGGGGCACCCACAGATCCATCTGCCGATGGATGGCTGTGGGGCAGGCACCAAGGGTGGCTCCTTCAGCAGCAGGGAGGGGCAGGGCATGGCATTAGAGCTGAGCCTTCCCGCACGGTGCTGGTGGGCTCAGACAGTGGGCCCCTCACATGAGGCCATCTTGGACTCCCGTGTGAGGTCGAGGGATCAGTGGGCCCTGCGTGACCAGCTGCATCTGCCCGGTAGGGAGGTGGACTGGTTCTCCCTGGCGAGTGTCATCTTCCTGCTGCTCTTTGCGCCCTTCATCGTGTACTACTTTATCATGACCTGTGACCAGTACAGCTGCGCCCTGACTGCCCCTGTGGTGGACATCGTCACCGGGCGTGGTCGGCTCTCAGACATCTGGGCCAGGACCCCGTCTGTGACAGTGAAAGCGGCCCAGGTCTACGCCTTGTGGGTCACCTTCCAGGTGAGCACCCTTGCCCGTGGAGGGTGGGCCCTCCTGCTGGGATCATCCTTGCTTTGTCTAGAATGTGGGATCCTGACTCAGGTTGACATTTAGGTTCCCAGGACCCAGCAGGGCATTACATAGACTCAGATGTACTTGGGTTTGTTGTCAGACACAGGACAGGAGGCACCTGTTGGCATCAGTGTTCGACACACCCTAGGGGATACCTGGATGTAGTTCTAGAGCGTGCCCAGCCCTTCAGGAACAAGCTGGGGATAAGGAGTGAGACTCTGGGAGGGCCTGGCCAGCTGGTGAGACCTTAGACACAGTAGGAGGCGTGTCTTGCACTCACCTGTGGGAAAGAGCATCCTCACCCAGAAAGAGGAGCTTTCAGTTACTAGAGATACTGCTGACAAATGCCAAGACCTTTGTCTCCCAGGGAGCTGTTGCACAGTCCAGGTTAAGGTTCCCCAGGGTGTGAGTTCTGAGAGAGGAGTATTTTCACAATACACTTGGCAAAAACTACGTTGCTCATTGGCTGAACGCATGATGATGTTTCCAGTTAAACAGTACCAGGAGAAGGCGCACACCTGGGTTTCCCTTCCCACGAGGAAAGCGTGGATCATTATTTGCTGTTTTTCCCCAGGGTCCAAGCTTTTGGGCTTCACAATCCTTCTTGGTTCAAGTCTCTTTGTCCCTTTGGGTAAAAAAATGGCAGGAGCAGCATGGATCGCAAAAAGCAGAAACCCCCATCCATTTGTCACAGATGGAGGGGCACACAGTGTGTGGTGTGTCTGTCCCTGGGTACTGTTTGGCAGTAGGAAGGAATGAAGTTCTGGTACGTGCGAGGGCGTGGGAGAACCCTGAGCATACTGTGCTAAGGAAGCCAGCCAGAGACCGTGTGCAGTGGGATTCCATTTACACGAGATGCCTGGAGTAGGCAAATCCACAGAGACGGGAAGATCCGTGGTCATCAGGGCTGCAGGGATGGGAGATTTGGAGTAACCATGAAGGGGCCTAGGGGTCTCTTTTGCAGTGATGAAAAAGTTCTTGAATTAGCTTGTGGTTTTTTTTTTTTTTTTTTGAGACAGAGCCTCAAGCTGTCACCCTGGGTAGAGTGCCGTGGCATCACAGCTCACAGCACTCCAACTCCTGGGCTCAAGCGAGTCTCCTGCCTCTGCCTCCCGAATAGCTGGGACCACAGGTGCCCGCCACAACGCCTGGCTATTTTTTAGTTGCAGCCATCATTGTTGTTTGGCGGGCCCAGGTTGGATTCGAACCTGCCAGCTTTGGTGTACGTAGCTGGCGCCTTAGCCACTTGAGCCACAGGCGCTGAGCCTGAATTAGCTAGTGTTGATGGTTGCAGAACCTGGTGAATGCACTAGAGGCCGCTGCATTGGGTACTTCAAAAGGGTCAATTTTATGGTGTGTTAATTATATTTCATTTTTTAAAATCCACCCCCCTCAACAAAAAGTGATTAGGGTATGTGTGCTCTCCTGAGAGGATGAGCAGGGCTGGGGGTGTGGAGGGCACTTTGGTGCCTTGGCTGGTAGGGGAGTTTCCTGTTTAGTAATCTATTCAGATCCTTCAGGGGACCTGCAGTCCCAGCTCCCAGGAGCAGCAGCCTCTTCTGAGTAAGACCAAACTTAGGGTTTTTCATGTTGGTGCTAGGTTGAAACTGGAGTCCACCCTCCAGGCTGCAGGCAATTTGGTGTAACATTGTCTGTTACAGGTGCTTTTGTACATGTGGCTTCCTGACTTCTGTCACAAGTTCCTGCCGGGCTACGTAGGGGGCATCCAGGAGGGGGCCGTGACACCTGCAGGTAAGCCCCCCCTTCCTTCAGCTTCCCCTCAGGGCTGTAGTGCCCTGCCCCCTTCAGCCCAGGGGCTGCCCTCCCCTTGCCGCTTCCATGGTAAGGCTTCTCACAAACTAAAAATGAATTTAGCCTGTACCAGGCCTCAAAAGAATTGAGGGGAGCCGTGGCCATCCCAGATACAAGGCTGAATGTCACTGTCCTTCATAAGAAGCCACTGATGGGCCCTGGCCCCTTCCCTGGACCCACAGTAGGTAATGTGATCAACTCATGGGCCAGTTTCCTAAAAGACTGCCATGCCCAGCCGCAGTGCCACCCACATCTGCGGGGAGGCCTTGTGCATCCCTCGCCATTGCTGAGAACCTGTGAAGGCCCAATTTCATGCTGTGTGGGGTGCAGACTGGAACTCCATCCTGTCCCTGCCCGTGGGGACCTCCCAGTCGAGTGGGGGGACTGAGACTTTCCCTGATTTTTACATGGGGAGTACAGGCCTTCTCCACCTGCTTCTGCCACTCAGCCCCACCCTCCCTGACGAACCGCAGACCTGTCACTCGGCCTGTGTTCACTTGAGGAGACTTAGAACCCGAGGACTAGAGCCACCTCCTTGTCCTCTTCTGAAGACTCAGTAGGAATAGTTGGTTTCTTAGCCACCTGTGTGAGGGATGCTATTGGCCTTTTGTCCTGGGAGTCTGGGATCGGTGCAGATGCTGACCAGCCTCTGAAGGGTTGGTGCCAGGACACAGGACAAGGGCCTGGGCAGCAGCAAAGGCCCAGGAAGCAGGTGGGCCCCTCCAGGCGTGGGACTGCCCGTCTAAGCCCCTTGATGCAGGTCAGGGAGATGCTCAACTTCTGCATCTCCCCTCTGCAGGGGTCGTGAACAAGTATGGAATCAACGGGCTGCAGGCCTGGCTAATTACGCACCTGCTCTGGTTTGCCAACTCCCACCTCCTGTTCTGGTTCTCGCCCACCATCATCTTTGACAACTGGATCCCGCTGCTGTGGTGTGCCAACATCCTCGGCTACGCCGTGTCTACTTTTGCAATGATCAAGGGCTACTTCTTCCCAACTAGTGCCCAGGACTGGTACGTTCTTAGTGGAGGCTGCACCTGATGTGGGAAGTGCTGTTCCTGCCCCGCACTTGTCTCTGCTGCCCTGGCTGGGAGGCTGGAGAGTCCTAAGGACTGAGAAGCCTCAGAGGGAGAGGGGAATGGAGCCTTTGTGACCCTGGGGAACATCCTTTCTGAACGTCTGGAGACTTCTCTGGCCTTAGGAAGAATGCAGCTGACAATGACTGAGTCATGGCCTGTAGGGCTGTCTTGGGAGCAGGGAAGCTGGAAAGACAACTGCTGGCTGGAGGGAAAGGCAACCATTCACTGCCTCTTCCTTTGGAGTAGTGAGTGTGGCCTCAAAGAGTCTTAGTGAGGGGTCTTGTTGTCTTAGTGGCTTTAACGTAACAGCTTCCCAGGAAAGCCCTTCTGGTCGGTACCCATTCTTACGTACCTTGGGCTGGACAGTGGTCAGACATTCGTCTACCCCTGCCATCCACTTGCCTATCAATTCATCCAATACCTATCCATCCATCTGTCTATTCATCCACCTGCCCATCCATCCCCCTACCTATCCATGTGCCTGCCCATCCATCTATCTACTCATCCATCCATCCATCTGTGCCATCTACCTGCCCACCCTTCCATCTATCCATTCATCCCTCTACCCATCCTCATCCCTCCATCTACCCACTCATCCTATCCCATCCATCCATCCATCTGCACACCCACCCTCTCATCTCTCCATCTACCCACTCATCCTATCCCAT